GTAGTGAGTGAGTCAGCCTCTGTGTGTGTGTGTGTGTGTGTGTGTGTGTGTACATGTGAACCTTATGTCCCTGTATGTGCACCGATTTGTAAGGGCTTGTGCCTGTGTAAGTGTGTGCATCTGTGTGTAAGCATGTGTGTCCATATAAGTGTATGGCCCTGTGTGTGCATCTGAGAATATACCTATGTTTATGTATATCCTTATCTGTGTGTGTGGCTGGTGGCGAGCCTGGTGTGTGGCCCTGTAAGCCTTGGGCTGAGTCTCTATGTGTCCGTATATGTGCACATCTGTATGCTGCCACCGTGTGCCACTCATGCACACAGTGCATGAGTTGTGCAGTGCACAGTTGAATGTGGCAGCCATGGGGTTGAGATAAGAAAGGTTTCTCAGAGGAGGCGGCTTGTGATTTGGTTCTTGAAGAATCAGTGGGAGCTACCAGGTAGGAAAAGGGACAGGGGAAGGGATTACAGGCTGTGGAAACAGCAAGAGCAAATGTGAGAAGGGAAAAAAGGCCTTGTTGTCCTCTGGGGACCAGAAGAACTGGAGTGTAGGGCATGGAGTTTTATACCTCCTCGGACTCCCCTTGGCCTCCTTCCTGCAGTGGGGGCCCTTGTGTGTGTGTGTTTTTGCCCTCATCTAACCCTCCCTCTTTACCCATCCTCAGCTCAGCCAGACCCCTGGGCCCGATTGCCCCATCTTCCTGCCCAGTGACTCTGAGTGGGACTGGCTGCTGGCCAAGACGTGGGTACGCAATGCTGAGTTCTTCTGCCATGAGGCCATCTCCCACCTGCTGGGGACCCACCTCATTGCTGAGGCCTTCTGCCTGGCTGTGCTGAGGCAGCTGCCCATGTGCCACCCCCTCTACAAGGTATGGCTTGGACAAAGGGATCTCTGTGAAGCATCACTGCCCTCACCCAGCCTCAGAAAGCCACTTGGTTCATTCAGCTGTTAGAGGGATTCCAGTGAGACTTGGAGAGGCAGCTGGGGACCCACAAGAGAGGGCTTGAGTGGGGCCTTCTTGAAGTGAGAAGGTCTGATGTTGCACAAATAGGGGTACCAAGGTCCTTTGGGGATAACTTCAGTTCTCTCTCGTTGTGTTCCTTGTTTTCTCTCATAGCTCCTCATCCCTCACACCCGATACACCATCCAGATCAACAGCATTGGGCGGGCCCTCCTCCTCAATGAGGGGGGGCTCTCTGCCAGGGTAAGACTTCTGCCCCCAGTCCCAGCAAGATATTTGCTTTCCTTCTGGCCTTTGCAGTTAGACTAAAAGCAGGACTTCCCACTTGCCTTTAGATCATGAGGGGGCATGGAGATGGGAGACTGGTTAAGGTGGTTGCTGTGTCTACAAGGGCACAGAGGCAGGGGCTGGGTGTGCTGGCTGAAGTGTGAGGATTTCGGAAGCAGGGAAGGCTGGGCGGGGGTTAGAGGAGCACTCACTAGATTGTGTGTGAGGCAGATGTGAGCCTCAGGGGAGAGGACTTGCAGGGACCCCAATGGCCCCAGTGTCTGCCTCCTCCCTGACAGGGTACGTCCTTGGGCGTGGAGGGCTTTGCTGCGTTGATGGTTCGGTCTCTGTCAGAGGTCACCTATGACAGCTTCTACCTCCCCAATGACTTTGTGGAGCGTGGAGTACAGGACCTGCCAGGATATTATTATCGTGATGACTGCTTGGCAGTGTGGGGTGCGCTGGAGAGGTAAGGTCAGGACAGCAGTGGGTGGCACTCAGGGTGGACACCCTGGGATATTGCAGGGGGTGTGGGGAGCCTTGAAGTACTTGAGCTTGGGTCTGGTGACATCTTCTGACCTTGGCAAGCTACCCTTGCCACCTCTGCCCCATAGGACTTGCCCACCCACAGGCTTGGGGCAGCTCTGGGGCCAGGGCATCCTGGGGAAGGTGGGAGCAGCACAGTTGGGCAGGTCAGGGAGAGGGTCCAAACTGAGGCTCTGTCCCCTGGTCAGGTATGTGACAGAGATCATTACCTACTATTACCCGTGTGACGCAGCTGTGGAGGGTGACCCGGAATTGCAGTCCTGGGTGCAGGAGATATTCAAGGAGTGCCTACTAGGGCGTGAAAGCTCAGGTATGGGCCTGGGCACCTGGGCATCCAACAGGGTACTGGGGCTGTGGGGTGGGCCCACCTTGGCTGGTCCAGACCATGTCTCATTGGGGATTGAAAGAGGTTAAATCACTGCCCTAAGATTTTGACATGGCCCTGTCCTGTCCCTTGGAGCAGGGGCATCTTGAAGAGGTTGGGAAAGAAAGCATGACTGGCCATTGGTCCCTGTCCAAGCTCAGGGGCTGTGGATCATCTCTGTAGAGACCTGGAGGGGTCCCAGTCCCCCACCCCATACACAAACCTTTGCGGACTGAGAAATGGGACATGAGCTCAGACAGGAAAGGACAGAGTGTGTTGTAGGTGGGGGAGCTGGCAGGCCCCAGGAGTGGGGGAGAGCATCCTGAAGTCATGCCACTTGGGCACCCACTCTACAAGTATTTAGTGAGCATCTATGATGTGACAACCACTATGCTTGTTACTGGGGAGGCAAAAGAGAATGAGACAGCCGCCGCGAGGCGAGCCACCTTGCCTCTCGGCGCCCCCTAGATGCTCTTAGCTGAGTGTCCCACAGGACACCCCCCCCCCAAAGCATTTACTTTGAAAATTAGAGAATGAGACAGGTGAAGTTGCTGCCCTCAAGAACTTCACAGCCTGGGGGAGGGGGAGTCTGCTCAAGTAAAGATGGAGTTACACTACAGCAGGACTGGTGCAGTTAGGAGCCCAGGGGAGGCACCTAACTCCGCTTGGGGAAGGGTGGCGGGTAGACAGTGGGGGTGGGAAGCAGCAAGCTAAGATCTAGCTGAGATCACAGCTAAGATCTGCAGGATGAGGAGGTTAGCTATGAGATGATAGAGGTGGGGTTAGAGAGTTCTGGGAGCTGCTGACAAGTCCCTGCAACTAGAGCTGAGGGTGGGAGATAGGCAGGCTCCCAGTGAAGCTAAGGCTGAAGTCATGGGCAGGGGCCAGGTTGCACAAACTAAGGAGTTTGGAATTACTCTGGGTGCCAGAGGGAGCCATGGAGGAATTTGCAAGGAGATCATATTTGTGTGTTAGAACATCAGGCTGTACCAGCAGTCATGAGACAGTTTGGGAAGCTACTGTGGTGTCCAGAAGGAAGTGACAGGGACCTGACTAGGGTGGGGGCTGTGGGGATGCAGAGAATTCCAGAGAGAGAGTTGGGAAATAGAAATGACAAGACTTGGTGACTGGTCTGGGTTTGGCAGTGGGGCCAGGTGAGGGGAAGGAGGAGCCAAGGGTGGCTCCCAGGTTTAGAGTTTTCACAGCTGGGTAGATGGCACAAGTCATTCCTTGAGATAGGAGCCTGCAGGGAGGGACAGTTTAGGGAGGAAGATGATGGGTCTGATTTGAATGTGTTGGACTTTTGGAACCTGGGGTCACCATGGCAACCCGGGCTGGCTGCTTACTTGGGACAACAGGGGAGAAAAGCAAGAAGCTTAATTAGGTGTGCTACCAAGAGCCAAACTACTGAGAAATCTATCTGGAGCGTGCAGTCTCAAAAGAAATGTGAGTGTGGTGGGGACTGGATAAGGGACTGTACTGAATCAGGGCAAGAAAGCCAGGATTCTTCCAAAGCTTTCCAAAGCCAGGATTCTTTCCCCTCTGAGACCTGGGACTAGAGAGGTCCCCCTAAGGGAGCTAGATCCGAGAGCCCCATCTCAGGCAGCCCTGGAGGACATCTGGCCAAGGCAAGTTGAGGCTCCCTCCCCAAGGCTTGTAGTGTGGTCTGGGGATATGGGGTTGTGGCCACAGGAGGGACAAGCAGGCAGGATGAGGGCAAGGAAGTGGTAGCTTTAAGTGATGGCAGGACATGTTGAGCAAGGCTTGGTTGCGCCCTCTGCCGGCCAGCCAGGACCAGCGCAGAACTGACGCTGCCAGTGCCTTGCCTTGCCCCACAGGCTTCCCCACGTGCTTGCGAACCGTGCCTGAGCTGATCCGATATGTCACCATCGTCATCTACACCTGCTCTGCCAAGCACGCAGCTGTCAACACAGGGCAGGTACCTGTGCTCACCAGCCCCTGCCCCAGCCCCTGCCCCAGGCCCAGATCTAACCCTAGTCCCTGCCCCAACCTCAAACCCAACCTCAGCCAAAATCCCTAGTTGGGCCTGACCTGTCTCAATCCAAGTTCCAGCTTCAATCCCAGCCTCAATTTAAACTCAGAGTCCCGGGGTGCTCTCTGACCCAGAACCCCTCCTCTACTCCACCTCCAGTTGGAGTTCACCTCCTGGATGCCCAACTTCCCATCATCCATGCGGAACCCACCGATGCAGGCCAAGGGACTGACCACTCTGGAGACCTTCATGGACACGTTGCCGGATGTGAAGACCACGTGCATCATCCTATTGGTGCTCTGGACACTCAGCCAGGAGCCAGACGACAAGGTGCCCTGGGGTCTCAGGGTGCAGGTGGGGTTGGGGGAACTCTGAACATAGGCAGGGGGCTGGGAGCTGAGGGGGGGGCAAGACAGGAGGAGGATGTGAGGGAGAAGCTCCTGAACGGGAAGGGCGGAGGGGTGGGGGCCCGCTGTGTCCCAGCAGCTCGGTTCTGTGCCCACAGCGGCCTCTGGGCCACTTCCCCGACATTCACTTCGTGGAGGATGTCCCGCGGAGGAGCATGGAGACATTCCGACAGCGCCTGGCGGAGATCTCGCACCACATCCGCCAGCGCAACAAGTGCCTCCGCATTCCTTACTACTACCTAGACCCGGTGCTGATTGAGAACAGCATTTCTATCTAGGACGGCCCTTCTCGCCTCCTCTCTTCACACCCTAAGCCTGGCTGTTTTCCAAAAAAAAAAAAAAAGAAAAAAAAAAAGAAAGAAAAGAAACAAATCGCTTCAAACACAAGCACTGGATCTATCAGTTTACTGGCGGGTGGGGTAGGGTGGAGGTTAGGGGCTGGAAGGCCTGGCGCTGCAGGGCTCAGGCTCGCTCACTCACACCATGATGCTGTTCTCCACCACCGCGGGGATCCAGGTAAGTGTAGGGTAGCACCAGGCCCCGGTTCCGTTCCCTGCTGTCCTGGGAGGTCCGGGCCAGGTGACTCTGGAAGGTGGCAATGCTCCACCACGGAGCATCCTCGGTGAAGTGCTCCTCCAGGTAGGTGCCCAGAGGCCACTGGGTTCGACAGGAGAGAAGGCCGGGACCTCCACCCCGGACAACATGATGCCCTCGGCCCCTCTTTCAACCCATCTTAAGCCCCCCTACCTAGGCACCCAGACCACCGAGGAGCCCCTTCCACCGGAAAATCCACTCAACGACACAGAACACCACCCGAGCTCCCACCCACGTAGGAACCTAGACCACCCAAGACCTGTCCAACTTGAAACATAAACCACTCAGCCACCTCGGCAAAAGGCCGTCCTAAGCCCAACCTATTGAAACCCCAGACCTCTCTAAGCTCCACCTACTAGGAACCATGCTACTCTAGACACCTATGTCACTCCCAGAAACCTAAGTCACTCTAGACCTTGCCCACCGAGGGGACCAGCCTGCTAAATGCCCCTCCAAGAATACCATTGTCCCTCAGGACTCCTTCCTTACCCCACCCACTCTCCTGGAACCTGAGACAACCACCTCCACACCCACCCCTCCACCTCTATCCTGGGCCTTGCTTACAGTGTCCTTGGTTTCATTAGTGGTACCCCAGAAAAGCATGAGGGCATGGCAAGTGGCATTGACCTCAGGGAGTGAGGCCACCAGGTCTGTCTGGCTTTTGGATGTGGGCAGCGGGAGCCTCATGGTTGTGGGAGTATTGGGTACCCAGGCACTGAATTCAAACTGACCCCCTCACATTCAGTAAGCACAGGGCTGCCGGTGCTCCTGCTGGGTCCACTCCTCCCATGACTCTGCTTGTCCCCAGGTCTGGCACTGGCTCACTTGGCCATTGTTGGTGGAAGCATGTTGAGCTGAGCAGGTGAAGATGGTCATGGTGAGATACTCGATGAGACCAGCACAGCTATCCAGGGTGCAAGGGACCCCTAGAAGGGGATAAGGTGGAGAGAATGGAGCTGAAGCCTGAGGGGTTGCTGCCCTGGGGAAGTGGGTCTAGAGGGTGGAAGACTGGGATGGACACCTCACCTGAGCTCATGCGTCTTAGAAAAGCCTCCTGGAAGATCTCCCTGACTCAGGCCTGCAGCTCCAAGTCTCTGCTCACTGCACTGTCGTCTGGGTAACAGATGCCAATGATATCGGACACAAAGCTGGGGATCCAGGAATACATGGTGACTGTTCAGTGGCTATACATCCCAGGGATGTGAGTGGGAAAAGCTGCTGAGACCAGCTGCCCAAAATGAGAAAACTGAGGCTAGAGAAGGAAAACGGCCAGTCACAATTGTATAAACAACTGAGCGGAGCTTGAAACCTGGAGGCCTCCATCTCTACCAGGAGGTGTCAACGGAGGGCCTGAGAGCCAGAGTTGGTTTGCAGATGCATTTTAATTGGTTGCCAAGGTTTTTTTGTTTGTTTCTTTTTCAAGTTGAATCAATGGCCAACATTTAAATATTACAAAATGTCTAGTTTCTCCAGAAAGATCTGGCTATAGTCATAGCTGAGTCGCCATTGTCCCCATTGGACAAACATGAGTTCTCCACCAGCCACAGTTACTGCCCACCCCTTTTCCCTAGCTTTTTTTCTGCTTGCTAGCCCTGTAGGCATTTGCATTCCAGCCTTTCCTGCTAGATCAAGCCACAGGGAAGGAATAGACACCAGGCTCTTCGGTGTTGGGACTGGTGGATTGGGTCCATCTTCCCCACTGGTCCCCAAAGGGCAGAGCTGGGTCTGTCTTGCTCACCATGACATCCACCCCCAGCCATGGGAGGGCTCATAGATGCGTATGTGGATCCATTGCTAAGAAGCGTTTTGACACAGGCAGCTCCAGCAATGGGTGTTCATAGTGGGGTGTCTCTGGGGTCTTCAAGTAGAGGTGGAGCTTGAGCTGGGTTTGAAGAAGGGGTAGTGGTTGGATAAGGAGAGAGGGAGAATTGCAGTGCCTGGCCTCCCTAGGCTCAGTGTGTGCTGAGGAGGAAGAATAGAAATGAGGGGCGGCGGGGTGCAGATTCCAGAAGGGCTGAGATACCATGGTAAACACTGCATTTCATGTGGCAAAGAACAGAACCTGTGAGGCTCATGAGCAGGGCTGCCCTAAATCCCTGTGCCTGAGGAAATTTGTTAATGGCAGAAGATGGGGACCCACATCAAGGAGATGGGGAGGCCAGACATTAAGAACACCTGACCAACAGTGTGGAGGCCAGAGACATCTTAAGGAGGTCTCCCATGAGAAGGATTTAGAAGGAAACCCTGGAAACTTTATCTATGGGGTGAATACTAATAATAGCTAATGCTCAGAGAGCACTTCCTATTCACCTGAGGGTTGTTTGTATGGCTTTACTTTTTTTTTTTTTTTTAAAGATTTTATTGGGGAATTGTGGGAGGGTAACAGCGCTGGGGAATCGAGGGAAGGGGAACAGACAAGGTGCTGTCCTTTTGTTCTTCAGTCTAGTTGTGGAGGATGTCGCTTCAGTGGCCCAAGTTGGCACCATCATTGCGCTCTTCCCGGGCGAGGCAGATCAGACGCCGGCTTCTGGACGGCCGCTCACTGCGGCTGCTGGCCGCTCACGCTGGCTGCTGGCTACACACGGTAGCCCCTGGCAACCCACTGCAGCAGGGGCTGCAGCTCTCCGTCGCAGGTGACTCATGGAAGCCCAGCTCCAGGTTGAGCTGTTGTTCAGNCTGGCTGCTGGCTACACACGGTAGCCCCTGGCAACCCACTGCAGCAGGGGCTGCAGCTCTCCATCGCAGGTGACTCATGGAAGCCCAGCTCCAGGTTGAGCTGTTGTTCAGCATATTAGCTGTAGAGGGCAGTGTCACTGGCCCTCATATGTGGGATCCGAACCGGGGCCCTCTGGCATCCCAAGCCAATTCTTAACCAACGCGCCCCTCGGCCGTGTATGGCTTTACATTTAATTCTAATAATAACCTATGAGGTAGGTGCTATTATTATTCCCATTATCAGATGAAGAAACAGACACAGAGGTTAAGTGACTTGCCCAAATTCACACAGCTGGGAAGGAAGAAAAGGAGGCAGGAAGGGGCTTCGAGACAGCAGTGTGTTTGGTCAGAAGTGGGGCGGTGGAAGAACAAACCAACAGAGATGTAGCTAAAGCTAAGGCTCAGGCCACAGGGGAACTTTACCTCTCTGTGGCTACCCAGATCTGGAGTGCATCATCTCAGTAGTAGTAGGCGAAGTCCTGAACTTATCGGTCAGCCAGTTGGTAGGGTAGGCAGAGGGAGCAGTAGGTAACGGCCTCCAGCCCTTTGGCAATCAGCTCCAGGTAGTCCACCCTTCCTGGCAACGTTGACTGTAATGAACAGAGAGCCCTCTGCTACCAGAAGCAGGGGGCTCAAGACCAAACCTCAGCCCCTCCTTGCCCCCTCTGCCAGGATCCCAGGCCTTCCAGGGCCCTGACCTGGTCAATGAGCTTTCCTGGTGGAAAGAACACAGTGCGGGCCATGATGTTGATGTGGAAGGTGTAGCTGAAATGAGGACTAAGCCGCTGGGGAGAACCAGAGTCAGAGGTTAGATAAAGAAGTCCCATGTACCCCACAGTTCTGGGACCTGAGAGGAGGGGTCCTTCCTTCCTTGAAGATGGGGTGACACATGGGCAACTGCCGCAGCATGGAGAGAAAAAATGTCTCCATCACAAAGTGAGTTCGAAGCAGATGAGTGACCATCTCATGCACCAGGAACCCTGAGTGGCGAACCCAGGTCTTGGCCAGGAGCCAGTCCTCAGCCGTGTCACTGGGTAGGAAGATGCGGCTATCTGGCCAGGTGTCTGAGTGAGCTGAAGTTGGGGGAATAGGGGAGGGTGGGCATCAGGCCGAAGCTGGCTTCAGAAAGTGTGGCCCATCACCATTTCCTTGGGGCCAAATCACATGGTCAGCTCACTTACTAGCTGTGTGTCCTCAGGAAAGTTAATTAACCTCTCTGTGACTCAGGTTCCTCATCCATAAAATGAGGTTAATGATAATAATCCCTTTTTCCTTGGATTGTTCTGAAGATTAAATGAGTTAATGCTGGTGAAGTACTTATGACAATGACTGCACTCAGTGCCATATGAGTGTTTCCTCTTGTGATTACTTCTAATATAACAGGAGAGGAAAGAGTTGCTGAGAGGTGAATCTACTTAAGGCCATCTTGTTGGCACATGTGGCAAAGCCTGCTTGAGGGCTACTTGTACCAGCCCAAAGTTATCCAGATCCCCAGTTGTATGGGGCAGAGAAGGGAAGGTGTGGAGACATCTCCCAGAAGGGGTTTGTTTTTAACTGTTGGGAGCATCATTGAACTGTCAAAGGTGCATGATTCCGTGGAGTTGATTTTGAAACCATATCAAGGTGCAATTTCTTCTCTGACACTAAATATCACAACCTTTCCATCAAGATAAAAATTGAAGAGGACAAAACAGAAAAACTAGGGAAAAAAAACAGACTAGGGAGGGGTGGGTAGGATTAGATAAGACACAGTGTTTAGCACTAGGAATGGCAGCACGTTTCAGTCATTTTGAAGGTGTGATATGCTCCCTGTCCCACCAGGGCCCTGCCTTGCTGACCTGGATGGCGAGGGGCAGCAGGGGCCCACTGGGGCTCTGGTGCAGCAGGGTCAGGGGGGCAGCTATGAACTGGGACCATCCATTAATGATGTTGGGGTGGAGACCTGAGAGGATGGCATGGTACAGAGAACCACCAGGTACAGAGAACACCCCTAGGGGAGAAGAGGAAGCGGGAGAGGGCTGAGGGAGGGGACAGCCCTGTGCAGTTCTGGGAAGCTTGGGGGAAAGAGAAGGAGTTACTCTGTACCCACAAGTATTTCACTTAAAGGAACCTCATTCCTTGGAGCCAGTGGGGCATTCTAGCCCAGAGCCACCTTCTGATTTCAAAGCAAGAGGAGTATTGGAGGTGCTTCTGCTGTGGCCAGGTCCAAGCTTCAAGGATAGACTCCTGGAGGACAACACCTTATGATCCAGAAGGCACCTTCCTGGGTTTGGGCTACACTTCATCCCAGTATCCCACATGGAGTCGGGGCTGGATAGTCATTCTGGGAAGCACTGAGCTGACCAGCTCTGAGTTATCCTCAGTAACCATGACAACTCAGTTTCCGAGCTGTGGGGTCCTGCCAAATGCATGGAACCTGGCAAAGTACCAGGAGAGAGCATTCCCCACTCAGCCCTGCCCCTTCAGCCTTTGCCACCGCAGAACAACACCCATCCCTCCACTGATAAGCAGGAGGCATTGACTCAGAGAAGTGGCTGATCTAGCTGAGAAAGAAGGCTTGACAGGAGTGGGTGGGGATGAAGGAGCAGCCAGGACTGGGTGGGGGAGATGGGGTCTGGGAACCCGGACATCTAAGCTCCTGAAGGCACTGGGAGGAGAGGGAGGGAGGCTGGATCCCTGGGTCCCTCACCTCCAACTCAGCCTTCAGATTGGTTCCAGAGCCTAGCACCAGGGCCACCATGGCATCAGTGATGGGGAAGTTCTTTGGGAGGCAGTGACAGCAGCAGATCAGGATTGGGTTGATGCCATTCAGGAACTGGAAGGCGAAGGAGTCCTCCCTCCAATGTTCAAACACATACTCTGCAGGGGTGTGGGGTGTGGGGAGGATTAGCCTAGTCCCCAGAGACCCAAGTCCCCAGCCCCCCAGCACTACCATCACTTCGAGGACCCAGGTCTCCAGCTTCTCAGCATGATCACTCCCTGATATTCTCTTTCTCCTACCCCATTTGGTTGGATGACTGTACTATTGACAGGTTTCTCAGAAAATACAGAATTGGAAGTTTGAGTTCTACCTGAGGAGTCACCAACTCCCTTAGCCCCACCCATTTGGGGGACGTCTTAGGCAATCTGTAGTGTGCATGAAGACTGCATCTAGTATTCAGCAGAATTTGAGAAAAATCAGAAGACTGAGGAATGTTGGATACCCGCAGAGCCCATCCTTCTAGCCCATCCTTCCTGGCCTCTGCTGTATGGGAGTCCCTCCAGTTCCCTGATGAAACTCACAGGGCCCATGTCTTATTGTCCTGCAACCTTGCCATGAGACAGTTTGGATAATTTATTAAAATAGAATTGTCATTCACAAAGAGAGTTTGCACCACCTTGAGATGTATGTAGCATTAGAGCTAGGGTTTTTGAGCCAAGGTTCAACATGTATAGTGTGAACCGAAGGTCAGAATGTACAGTTGGAACCACAGTGCACCAAGGGTGCACACATTGAAGAGCAGAAACTCCTGAATCCTTTGACTTAGTTTGGTTTTCAAGTCTGCATGCAAGGCACCAGGCCCCAACCCAGTAGGAGGCAACTTTGAAAAGGAAGTCTTTCTGCCTCAGATGTCTTTTCCTAATTTGCTGAGGATATTCACCAGACAGATATTTCCAGTTGTTCAGAGCAACTCAGTGTTGGGGGCAGTTTGAAGATGTAGTTATGAAGTCAGTGGAGGTGCATGACCAGCTAACAGACCCCAGGGCCCTAACTTAATTTTGCCAGCCTTAGGAGCTTGGCTTACCACAAAACAAAGGTTGTAGATGTCCAGAGATGGCAGAAAAGGAGTGCTTGTGCCATGAAGTGTTTGTACTTGCCTTGACAAAAAAAGTGTTTGTATTTATCTTTACTTTCTGGCCATTCTTTCTGAAGCCCTGATGAATGAGAATGACTCCAAGAACAGTAGGCCTTAAGCCCATCCTGAGGGAAAGCGGATGCCCCAGGTGGGGCATCCTCCCTGGGTCCCTCAGCCCCCACCAGAGGCCAACCCTGCCTGCAACCCTGGGTGACAGAAAGTGTGTCTTCTCTTCTCAGAGCAGAAATGAGGTACTGTGAAGGACAGGGTGGGAACTAGTGGCAGAGCAGGAGTCCTGTGATTTCCAGAAAGTTCCAATTCCAGCTCTCTGGTTCTTAGTCCTGCAAGGTGACCGCTACAGACTCTTTGGCCCTGCCATAGCCTGCTTTTCCTCCCTCACATCCCAGACCTGACGCAGGTGATTTGGGGAAGATGAAGGTGCTTTGGATCTCAGCCAGACTTCTCCAGGGCCTTTGGCTGTCTAGCAGTCCCTTCAGCTTTCAGGGCGATGTTCCTGCAGCAAGAAAGAATGGCATAGGCTGGAGGGAGATGAGATGCAGTGAGGGAGGTGTCAGGTGGGACAGGCAGGTTCACCGTGAAGAGGTGGAATTTCTGGTTGACTTCTTTGGTGACTGAGTAGCTTAGGTTGCAATTGAGCTCCTTGAGGTTTTCTGCATCAAGGCAGTTGGGGCATCCCTGGGAAAAATTCACTCCACCTGTGAAGGGCAGAGATGGTCATGGGAGGAAGGTGCTGATGGCTGGCCCTCACCTTTCAGAGGCTGGAAAGGGTAACAGTGGCTGGGGCTTCTGGGCCTGGCTGTGCAGGCAGGGCTTTGGGACCGGGAGCTTATGGGGGAGGGCTGTGCCAGGACTCGGGGCTCCTCACATGTGTGCTGTTCTTGGTTAGATTTGAGGCTTGGCTGACCTCAGCAAGCAGGATCAAGGAACTCCTTTGTTGCCAGAAAGCTAAGAAGTGGGGACCGTAGGGACTATCAGCCCAAGACCCCTTTTGGTGCTCACCGGTATTTCTGCTATCTCTCCTTAATTTCGGCCTGGCACTGGGCACAGAGCAGAGGGTGGCTGTCCTGCCAGATGACTTTGGCTGGGGGAGAGAAGGAGTGAGAGGGGGACCTGCTCCCAACCCTCAGCACCCCAGCACTCCTCAGACCTGGTGTGGGGCATCTCTGGACTGGAATGTCTGCCAGCCAACGGCCTCTTGGTCTGTTTTTCCTCTCCCCTTGCTCCTCCCATCCAAGGCAGACCCTGCCCCAGCAGCCCCCTTCCATTCAGCAGAGGCCAGAGGGGACCAAAGAGCAAAGCTGGAGAGCTGAGAAAGGAGGGGTGGTAGCCATAGACAACACCCCCACCACGTTTGGCCCAGTTGCTTGCCTCCCCATCCCTTCTTCTTCACAGTCCTGTCCTTCTCCCACCAGCCCCTTCCTTTTCTAATCATTGCTCCTCCCAAAGTCCACACCTGATCCTCTGGTCAAAACAACTCCTTCCTCCCCTCCCGCCCATTGACCCCTCCATCAGGTCTCCATTCCCCTGACCCCTCTTGTCGCACCCAGCTGGTCTCCCCTCCTCCCCCACCCCCCCTCCCCTTCCTTCTACTCTGTGGCCACACCAGCCCATCAGTGTCCTCCCCTGACCCATCACCGCACTACCCTCCCTCCTCCTCCAGTCCCTTCCTCACCTGTCCCCTCCCGCCGCACGAGGCTCCCGGTCTCCTCCAGCCACCGGTAGCAAGGGAAGCGGAGTGGGGCGCCCCGCGGCGTCCTGAGCTGGAACCAGCTGCAGAACCAGACGTCCGGGGCCAAGGGCCCCGGCGGGGGGAGCAGCGCTGGGGGCGCCTCGTGCACTCGCAGCAGCAGCACCGGGTCCACGTCTTGGGGGGGGGGAGGGGCACCAGGTTCAATGACACGTTGTCCCAAGTCCCCGAGCCCAGGTATGAGCCGGTGGCCACACGCACCCTGTGTTCTCCCATAGCTTGCTGTCGAGGGGTCCGGAGTGCCGCAGGAGACCAGTCAGGGCAGGCTGAGGGATAGAGTCGTTGGGGTGGCAGCATCGACGGCTCTGGGGAGACCTATGTGCGCCCTGCTCTGGTCCCTCGGCCTGTGCCCTCTAGACTGACATCTCTACCCAGGCGCCGGTGATCCCGCGTCCCGCCCAGCACTCTTCCGGAATTCTCTCCTCCCTACAGGGCACCGGGAGAAGTCCAGGTGTGTGTGTGTGTGTGTGGGGGGGTGCGAATCCTGAGAGGTCCCCAGGTCGCGGCTCCGCAGAGTGAGGCACTCGTTTCGGTCCCGGCCCAAAACCCTCGCCCCGGTGCACGGTCTAACCTCTGCTCCTTTCGCTGTAGCCTTGGCTGGCCTTCACCTCTCCGGACCTGGGTCTGCTTTTGGCTCTGGGGACACTCCTTGTTTCCTCTTCCAGATGACTCCGCCCCAGTGACCGGGGAGATAACTGGGGGCGCCTCCTCCTCTGCATCTACTCCCTGTCCACTCCCAGCCCTGGAGGGAGGCGACCCGTAAACCACTCTGAGTAGGACACTGTCACCCCATGTACCGCTGCCGCCTGGTCCCTCTCTCCATTTCTGCTTCTCTTGTCACCCTTCCCCTTCTGTCCTCAGTGCTTTCTCAGGTCGATGGAGGTTGGGGCTGGGGTGAGGGGGCGGTGAGGGGGAAATGAGGGGTAAGTGTGATCCTTTCCCTATTCTCCATAGGTAGTGAACAAAGGCGTGTGAGAGTCCAACATGGATTGGAGGAGATGGGGGGTGCACAAAGATAGGGAGGGGGCTGGAAGAGGATCAACAATTGGGCATTAGGGGACTGGGGCTCTAGGCATTGGAAAGGTGAAACATGGGGCCCCTCTATCCAGCCTTTCAAAGTGTAATTTTCAAAAAAATTTAAAACATGATTCATAGAAATTAGAATGACCAAGAGTCAAAGATTTAATTCAACTTAGCAAAGTTGGCTCCAATAGGAGTTGGATATTTATAGGCAATTTTATAAAGGAATGTAGGGTACAATTGCCAGGTTAGATACAAAACTATATAGTTAATGTCATACTTGACAATAAACTATAACCTTTGGGGTTATCTTTTTTTTTTTCTGAATAGACATCATTTGCATCTCTACTGGACACAAGTTACAGGAACTTCACAGAGACCGAGGCTTTTATAAATAATAAATAGTAAAGTCAAGCAATGGTATATTCTTCTAGAAAATTAAACATCGTTGAAATAAGAGGCTGTTGTCCTTCTTGCCTTTATCAGTTTTGGATGTTTTTTTCTTAACAAGGCTGTTCTCAGGCAATCAAATAGATCTTTTTTTAGGTCCCCCCTACCCCCTCTATCAAGACCCTACTTCCTTACTCCTCATGAGGCCCTGCTATACAATCCCATTCCCTTTCTCAAACATGTGGGTATGCAGCCTTCCAGACCTTCTCCTTGGCATTTGTATTGATTTACATACTTAGCTTAGTTTTCTAAATGTAAAAGGGCTCATTCCAGACTTATTGTATACCTTGTTTTCCATTGTATAACAATACATTGTGGATATTTTGTCCACGTCAGCAATTATGAATTGACTTTATTAACAGCTACATTATTTTTCATACTAGGACTGCTTCCTAATTTAAGATTTCCTTCCTGACAAACATTCAAGTTTTAAAAAGTTTTCCTTTTATAATATTGCATAGAACATCATTATAAACATTGCTTTGTGCAAGAGTGGGAGTTTTCAGTAGGATACCTTCTTCTAAGTTGTTTGCTGGATTACATTGTTTTTTTAACTTGAAATTTGGATTGAGACTTCCAAAGAGTTCTTCAAAGCTGTACAGTGTTACACTGTTATATCAGGGCCCAGTAGTTTCGCACCCTTGACAATTCTTAACACTCTCTAGTGACTAGTGAAGTTAAATATCTTTTCGTATGTTTATTAGACATTTAGGTTTATTTTATGAACTGACTCTTGTAAATGTCATGTTATAGTCTTTGCCCTCTTTTTTGCTGGGTTATTAATTTGTAGAACCCTGTTATATATTTCAGATATTTACCGTTTGTTGCAAACAGTTTCTCCCATTGGTTGCTTGCCTTTCATTTTCATGTCTGGCAACACTTGACTCTGCATTGTCTCACCAACCCTTCAGCAGCAGTTCATTGTCCTAATAACCAGTTCATTGTGCTAATGTCTTAGAGTCTTTCATCTCTGTTTCAATTCCTTTTGCTGCTACCTACCCACACCCTAGTCCTCCTCCTTCTCTGCTGACTCACTCCACCCTGTTCCAGAATATTTGGCAGGAAATGGCCAGGGAGTAAGCTAGGCTCCTGCTCATGTTTCGCTTTCCACCCTACACTCCTTCCTCTTTACTTTTTCTGTGACTCTCTCATTCCCCAAATGAAAACCTGGGATGGTGGAGGCAGGAGTCTGAGGTGGTGAATTGGGAGCTGGTCCTCTCCCTCTGGCCAGCTCACCCAACTGGGGCAAGGGTCTCCATTGCATGACTTTGGGGCCTGGATGCCCAAAGCCTCATTGTCCATGAGGAAGTTCCCACCTTAAGTCTAAGGGACCACCACTCTGAAGAGTTAACTGGATATCCCCTAGAGGTGAATGAATGTTACCCGTAACAACCTTCTCTTCTTTTTCTTTATGGCACAGGTAATGTGCCGATGTTGTAACAAGGTTTGTGGGAGGCACATCTTACACACAAGCGTGAACACCCAATCATCACACTTAGGAACTCCGAAAAGATCGACAACCTTCTCTTTTTATGGCTGGTCAGCCAAGAGTCTAAGAACTAGGGGTGTGTGTGTGTGTGTGTGTGTGTGTGTGT